GGCTGGGCGCTGGCTGGCTTGTACTTTAACTGGATCAGGCTGGCTTGCTTCCTGACCAAATGTAAAAGTCAGCCGGTAAACGACTGCCTAAAAAAAATGAAGAAATTGAAATATTTCCAGACATATATTTTTGAAACACACTTTTCGGGAATTATTGAAAAATTTAGACAACAATTTCCTCAGAAAATACTTTTTTGGAAAATTAAAATCCTTCACAACACAGCGCAGCCGGCGAGGCGGGAGAGTGCCTCCTCCTCGCCCTCCTCCTGGACGGGCCGCGGCCGCAGCGGAGGCCGGCCCTGCGGGGCTGCTGCTGCTGCCGCCGTTCCACCCGCAGCTCGAGGCGCCGCCCAGCGTCTATCCCGCGGTCTAGTGCATCATAAATCACAGCAAAGCTCTGCCGGTAAACGGACAGCGCGGCCGGCCCGGGCCCGTGCGGGGCGGGCCGTCGTGTCTTTGCCCCTTCCTATTTGCCACGGACCGCGCGGGTCAGCTTGTCGCGGAAAGGCGCGGAGTGGTGGTGGTGGTCGGTGTTCCCCGAAAATAAATAAAACAAGTCGTCCTGTGTCGCTGTTTGCTTTTGTTTTTTTGCTTTTGTTTTTTCGGCAGCGAGCCGCCGCGCCTGCTCCGCGACGTGCTCGTGCCGTTGCAGCTGCACAGCGAGCGCGTCGTCGTGTGTTGTCTCTCGGCGACGCGGTACTCACCTGGAAGTTGCGCCGCATGTCGCGACTCTGCGCGGCGGGGAGCGGCGGGGCGCCCGACAACAAGACAAGAGATGCACTCGCCTCCGGTCCGACCTCTTGCTGCTGCTCTGCTGTTGCTGGACGGCTTCCGTCGTTGCGACGACTGAGAAACTTACGCCGAGCCAAACTTTGTTTTATTGGAATACATCGCCAATTGTACCCGCCGGCATCGCGTCGGCTCCCCTCTCCTGTTTCTTCCTCGTCGGGCGTCGTTGCCTCCCTCCCCCCCCCCCTCTCTCTCCCTCGAATCAGACTCCAGGCAGAGGATATTCCCCGGCACCCGGCAGGTACCACTCGGTCCTTACCTCCCCTCTCCTCCCTCCGCAATGCTCTCCAGACGCTCCGGACACCGGGTGGAAAAGAGGGGGGGGGGGGCTCAGCTCGCCGATCCGGCGGGCTCTCCTTACCACCCCCTTCTCTCCCCCCCCCTCTAACTCTCTTCAATCTCTTCGCGGATCAGCCGGCTTGTTTACGTCGCAGTTTATTCTCTTATATTTTCTCAGAAACCATGCAGACTTATTGGCAATATGTTGTACGATAGGCGCGCAAATCTGTACCAAACAACGCCGACTGAAACGCGGCGTGCAAAGGCGGCCCGATAAGTGGGGCCGCAGGGGCCATCACGGTGCACCCAGGGCGGGGCGGGGTGG